TGAAGCGAGGCATTTGGATCATCAACATGATACAAGAATCAAACTCCCATTGTCACCAAGAAGAACCCAGCCTTAAACAAAGAGGGAGATCCGTCCTTCTCTCTTTTGTAAATCGGGAGACCGATCAAGAAGATTGTAATTTTTTCTAAGTCAGTTAGAGAGAAGTTATTTTGAGGGATTATATTCATTCTTTTCCTAAATCAATTAAATAGATTAATACAAATTTATTTCTCAATTTTCTTATAAATTTTCCTACAAACACCCCACGACCTAAATGAATTTCTCCTTCCAATCCTTATGAGAATCAGAAAGGTTGGTAATGAGCTTGAACTTCCCCGCCATCTGAAAATGGAAATGAGGCTCTTTTTGAGTCACCTTCACGGTCATTAAACGACCGAAGACTTTCAAGGAAGGCCTAACCCCTATCCAGTGGCAGATCACCACAAACCCCACTAAGACTGCAATGGTGTTAGACTTCATTTATGTCGTCGACACTCCTAACGTCTCAAACACTTGCTTAAGGAAAGGATGCAGAGGCAATCTCAGACCACTTCTATATGCCTCACAAAGAGCGAATTCTGCTCTGACCCATGGTCAAATATGGCCTCCGACCTCGTCGGAGCATATATATCGTATGCCTCAGGAATATCGAACTTCTTAGGCATTATCCCCATATGTTGCGAAGTCACTTTAGAGTGAATCTTCTCCAGAAGAGCTCGATGATTAATTGGTTCAATAGCCATCGGAGATCATAGAGCTGATCACCAGAAGAGATAAATGGAGAAAATCTTGAATTCTCTCGAGGAAATTCAAAAAGACAATAGCATCCTCTTGCGTGGCCCTGTTTCTATATATAGGTAGCTGATTTTGACAATTGACAAAATTCAAATCATCAGATCCAATTATATCCAATGGACAAGATCTGTTTTCAAATTCTGAAGCACCCTTAGAGATCGAGGCGCAGCCCACTTACCTTGAACAGTCTACAATCTACCAAGAAAAATGACTGCAATATAAAGAAGATGTAGAATGACGTCAACGACATCGCTTCAGAAGAAACTTTTCAGTTCTCGTTCAAAGCATCCACGTCCTTCCAAAAGCAATTTGTTTTTATTTAATATTTTACTCGAACCCGGCTAAAGCCGCCTCCAAGTGAAAGGGGCAAACTGTTATGGTATTCCCACTCGCTGAAATACAATTCATTGGCAAATGAACAGATTGATGTACTTCCTCAATCAACACCCCAATTAAATTGGTGGCCCAAGTCTAACAGAGAGTCCAACTTAACCGGCTAGACGAATCGATATTCCTTCATATCGACTCGAAAAGCAGTACCAGTCGACCCTCTTGTCGAAGACAACTCACCAAGAGTCCACTCGGTCATTCGATTAACGCCTCACGAGGATGACTCGAAAGGCGTTACTTAAAGGCGAAGCTAAAAAATAACTTCTGCTTCGAGCTTATCCTCGTTGACAACATGTCCATGTCGTATTTAATGTTTAACAGGCATCATCATGACTCTAACCCCAACAGTCTTTATAATTTACCAGACCACATGGGCCACCATCATACTCCCTCTCACTTCTCATTTAATACTGAGGAGATCCTCCCTCCAGTCGCCAGCCGACACCTATAAAGCAGAGGCTGACTCAGTTGCCAACCCACACTTCACCACCGCCTTTCTGTGCTCGACCAAAGTGACTAATCTACCCCTTAGACACTGAGTATAAATACATGTACTGTTTTAATGTTAGAAGGGTTCCAAAATCTGATCCTCTAACGCATACACTACACAATTACAAGAACACAATTCTTTCTTGACCTCATTCTAGTTCATTAACTAACTTGATCATTGGAGGCACAACGGGGGAACTAATCCCCGCCCTCTCACGAATTTCTATTGGTGCAGATTCCTCAGATACTCAACTCAAGAAACAAACATAAAGCTAGAGAAGAAAACAACCACTCTTCAACATTGAGCAAACTAATCCTATCCTAGATCTGACTGTGTGATCATATAACCATCAACAATAATATACTTTATATCACTTTTGGCAATAATTTCTAAAAATCTATTCATATTACTATTGATTATTAAGATGTTAAAAATATTTTTTCACAAAAAAATTACTATATAATGCTCTAATTGAGTGCATCGGAGAACTAGTTATATATTAAGTAACAATTTTTTTAACGAGTGACTCACTTGCTACGGATGAGAGATATAAAGAGAAATGAATAGCAAGCGGATTTATATAAATAGTGAGCGGATTTCCCAGATTTGAACGAATTTCTTCATTGCTTTCTATCTCTCTCACTTCTATAGGCACCCATTAGACAAATCTATTAAGAAAAGCTACATCTTTTTGGTCTTTGTGAGTCACATTTTAAGAATTCTTGAAATATCCTAACGACAAAAGAGACAACAATTTTAAATGCTTTTACTCTTGAATAGCTCAACAAAAATGCTCCCACGCTTATAATATCAAAAGGAGTACTCTCGCGCTTGTAAAAATTACAAAAATACCCTCAAAACTTAAAAAAATCCCAAAAAACAATGGAAATACATTCAAATTGTCTCTTTTCTCGACAATTTGACTGCAACACTAGTTTACATTATCAAATACAATATAACCAAATTGTGGGACAAACAATCAACTAAACATAAGTTGGATTTAATATTTGAGTTTAATAACAAAACTCTGGAAAGACACACGATGAATCGACCGCCACTGGACTAAAGACGCTCGCAAAGTCTCTTTAGGGCTTGCTTGAGTTAGGGGTGATGAGGGATAGGGAAAGTTATGATACTATTTATCATTATTTTGGAATGAACTTATACTAAATAATGGGGGACAAGGTAAGGTAAAGAATGAGAGAAACCAAGTTTTGGTGCTCTCTCCCCTCAACAAATTCGGGGTGTAACGAGGGTGAAAGAAGGTGAAGGGAAAATCCAAAAGAAAACAAAATTTTAGAGATAATATTTTTTACCCTCTATCTAATTTCTAATAATAAAATAATTTAATAACATATAAAGTTATTTATAAAATTTTACATCTATTCCCTTTCTTTAGCTTTATTAAAATTGCGGAATGGGTGAAATAAATTCCTTTTAAGTTCTAGGAAATCAAAGAAAAGTAAGAAAGTAGATGAGATGAGTTTGGTTGGCTAAAAAAAACAAGGAAATCAAAGAAAATGAAATATATTTCCTATAATAGGTTATTTTCTTGTGTTTTGTTCACTTTTTAAAAGTAAGAAAGGAGATGAGTTGTCTCCATATTATTGGATGATGTGAGTGATTTTTTAAGAAACAAATTTCATGACTTGTTTTGAGGTTGTTTAGTTGGCTAAGGGGCTGTTTGTTTGCCCAAAAAAATGAGGAAATGGTGCATTTGAAAACTGCTCTCAGTTGCAGATAGGATTTAGGTTTCGACACATTTTTAATTCTCCTGTTTGGTTTGTTTGTTGGTTTATAGAAAAGGGGGGCTGAAATAGGGTTCCACGTTACTTTTTTAAGAAATGGTATTTTAGCGGGTTGGGGGCTGAAATCGCTGGGAAATGTCCACTTGCCGAATAAAATAATCACGCGGGTATATTTTTGAGGCGACGGGAAGGAAAACTGGGAAAGATATTAGGGTTCTCTTCACCACCTTCCTCATCATTTTCCCCTTCTGCCTCTTGCCATCTCCATTGCTATGTCATTAAAAATTTTCTTTCGCCACTATTTCTTCCTCAATTGATACTTCCAGCTGATGAAAAATCATTAGAATGGCACGGGCGATGACAATTCGGTCAGTTTTTGAGTGATTTTGGCCAGATCTTGCAAAAAGGGAGGGTCTTTTTTGGCAATTTCTTCTTCTTCTTCTTATTGCGGCGTCGTTAGATCTGCATATGCTCACTCTGATTTTGACTGTTAACGGGGATTTCTTCACCTTCAACCGCAAAAGGTTCGATCTTTGTTTATTTTAATGTATCCCTTGTTGATAGAGCAATTTAGTGTTAAATTTTCATCATGCATGAAATTTATAGTATTTTTCCTCAACAATTTATCTGAGATTTGGGGGTTTATGCGTTCATAGCAACTGATGCATGCTTGAAGAAATTCTTAATTAGTTTTAACTTTTTCTCCAATTTCTGCACTTTCCAAATCCTTTGCTTATTTTTATTTTTTAATTTTTTAATTTAATGAATAATTGATGACAGTTTTTAGCTCTTATTTCCTAACCCCAACTTATGCGGGTCTATTTCCCATATTTGCAAACTTCTTAAGTCAGTTAGAGATTACAAATAGCTATTTATCATGTTTGTTCTACAACAAATTTTCAAGTTTAATCAACACATTGGAGGTTTAACTGTGTGACAATACCCATTATTATTATTTTTTCTCTCATTATTAGTAAACAATTTTTCTCCTCACTTTGTAGAAGTAAAATTGTTGTTATTATTTAAGCTTAGAAATTAATGTGTTGTATAAATGAAATTATCTGTGGATAATACCAACTTAGTTTCCTAAATTAATGTGTTGTATAATAAAATTATCTGATGGATAATACTAACTCGGTTTCCTAAATTTCCTTGAAATTAAAATATTAAATTTGTGGTCCATAAAAGCCTGAGAAAGATTGCAAAAACCTACCAAGTTCTGTAAAAATATGTGTTCCATAATAGTTATTCACTTGTGTATCTTTTTAATAATGATTTCTTGAATGATTAGAAAAATAAAATGCATGTCATATTAGATGCTTATTTTATAGAGAGGTACAATGACATTTCTAAAATCTAGGTTGCTTGTTTTGTAATCTTTACGGGTATTAATAAGTCCATAGCCCTACAAGGCATATTTCATGTATGGGTTTAATAGTGAGTTAGTGTCATGTACATGTGTTGTGATAGTATAATTCCGTGCACGTACAGTCTCTTTATTTCTGTATAAGCTGAGCATGTCATAAAGGCATCATGTTCTTTTAATTTAATTTTTAACTGATAAGTAAAAATTGTAGATGGATGGTGATTATGATGATGAAGAGGTTGTTATAAGAATGTGTGTTGGGGCTGATTTTCAGTCATGATTATAGTTTTCACATTTTTTAGGAGAATGAAGTGTCGTCGTAGATCAATACAGTCTGGACCAAGCGAAGAAAGACTAAGATAGGAAAAAACTAGGACAGAGTTGATGAATCGTATATATCACGGTTATAGTGATAGCTGTCAAAACTTTGTTAGAATGCGCCCAGGTGCTTTCATGAAACTAGCAAAGTTAATGAGGAAAAAACATCTCTTAAAGGACTCAAGGCATATAATAGTAGAGGAGCAACTTGCTATAAACATTGAATATATTGGGCCATAAATCCAAAAATCGTATGATGAGAACACAATTTATAAGATCAGGGGAGACAGTTAATAGATACTTCAACAGAGTATTACAAGCTATTTTATGCATACAAGACCGATATATGAAACAAGCACCAAATAAAGTGTCCCAAGAGATCCCAAACAATCCATTATTTTATCCATTTTTCAAGGTATATCATCCACTCTACGAAATTACGCAAATAATTGTCTAATCAAATCATATCTTACATTAACATAGTAAGTTGTTGTACTCTGTAGGATTGCATAGATATGATAGATGAGACACATGTGGATGCTATGCTACCTGCTAGCCTTGTTGCGTGCTTCATAGGACGCAAAGGTGTCACACAAAATATTCTTATCGCTTGTACACCAAACAAACTGTTCACCTACGTTTTAGCTGGGTGGGAGGGATTATCGCTTGTACTATATAATCCTTCAAGATGCTTTGTCTAGACCACATCCATATGGCTTATAGGTCTACACTGGTAACAATCTTGTTAACTCCTCAAATTAATTACTCATTTGTCTAATATTTCTCACTAATAATTACACGGTCAATTCTTATTAAAATTATGTGTAATATGTAGGTAAATATTACTTGTGCAATGCGGGGTACACAACTATACCCGATTTTATATCCCCGCATTGTGGTGTTCGTTACCATCTAAAGGAATTTACGGGGAGAACATCTCAAAATAGGAGGGAGTTATTCAATCTTAGACATTCATCTTTGAGGTCAAAGATTGAAGCTACCTTTGGTATATTGTACAATCGTTTCAAGATTCTCACAGTAAAACCCCACTACCCCTTTCCCGCACAAGTTGATATCATTTTAGCATGCACGGTTCTCCATTACTATATTGCAACAGTCGATCCAAACGATGATTTGCTCAATAAGACCATCGACATTGAAGAGGATGATGTTGAAGAAGCAATTGATGAAGAAACTAACGTTATGGAGTTCACGCAGTCCCAAACACAAAGAGAACAAAATGCCTCAAAAGATGAGTGGAAGTCTTGCAAAAATCAAATCGCTTTGGACATGTGGATTGATTATTGTAATAAATACCAGCATGGTATCACCACTGAGTCTGCCTTATGATTTGCTACGATTTTCAACATTTAGTAGTACTTTATGTTTGGTAGTCGTGTACCTTAAGAGTTTAATGTTGTTGACTATGATGTTATTGTGTGACTTTGATTACTTATGGTGGTACTTAGTTCTTGTCGTGATATCACATGTGCAGGGTTTTTGTTTGTGTGAGATTTCTCATTTGATGCTTTAATCTCATCTATTGAAAGCATTTATAATTTATTATGGATGCTATGCTACCTGCTAGCCTTTGATGCTTTAATCTCATCTATTGCAAGCATTTACAAGACATTTGTCTTGAATTTATGACAATTTTTGTTTTTTGAGAATTACATTAGTTTTCAGTAATAAAATAGGTAATAAATCAACCGCCAAAAGGTATGGTTTGTGTTAGCTTTCTTATATGATGCTTTAATCTCATCTATTGCAATAATTTACAATTTTTATTTTGTCGTATTTTTTTGACTCACATTTATTTTTTGAGAATTACATTTGTTAAAAATATAGGAATGTGTGATAAATCAACCTCTGAAGGGAATGATTTGGGCAAAGGGATGACTACTACTCACTCTCCAACTTCAATGGCCCCACCACCTTCTCCCATGTTCCCGGCAAGCAGTGGGTCTAACTACAGTTTCAATCCTATATTTCAGTCATCTTCACCATTTGTGCAATCACCATCTGTTTTCACAAATGTACCACATTATGATGATAACTTTTTCCCTATGCATCACCCCATTTCATCTTACATGCACTTGCTCAGTAGTTCACCATCTTTTCCTCAATATTTTTAAGGATCAAATTCCTCCGGATAAGTTTTATCTCCAACTAGTGTTATATGGACTACTTCTGATTCAAGTAATAATAAAAGAATGGCCAATGATGAAGTAGTAGCAACTTTAGTAGACCCAGCAAGAAAATGCAAAGCTCTTTCCCATAAGAAAAGAAAAATTCACCTTGAGCCTAAAACTTCAAATGTGGACCCAACCAGATGGTGGACCTCTGCTCATGATGACGTGCTCATACCCTTTCTTGCAAATTTGGCAAAGTTTGGTTTTAAACCAGACAAAAAAGTTAAGCAACATGCATTTGCAATGACAGCCGCTGAAGTGAACAAGTAATTTGGAACTACATTTGTTACGAAAAGTGTTGTTAACCATATGAAAACATTTTGTTCCTGGTTTCAAGGTATACAGGCTGCTCGTAATATCAGTGGTGCAAGTTGGGATGAACAAACACAAACAATCGTCATAGATCCTGAGAGTTTTGATACGTGGAATGCGGTTAAATGTTATTGTTCATCTATTCATTTTCATGTTGGTACGATTAAAATTATTCTCCTATACATTATACAAGTTATATTTTAATGTCTGTAGGATAAAAATAAAAGCATGCTTAAAGATTACATCAATAAGCCTTTGAAGTATTATGAGAATCTAGCTATCATTTGTGGGGATGATCAAGCAAGATGTAACTTTGCAAATGCTTCCATGGAGAAATTTGGTGGTCAGGAGCCTATTAACCTTGCGGATGATGACAATGAGGATGTTAGCATTCCTATGACTCAAAAGTCCTCTCACACGGTCAACTTATTAGATGAAGATAATCAATCCCAAAACAACAACGGCAAGGCAACATGCCAAGACAAGTTTAGGAAAATACCTTCGGCCAAAGGGAGGATGAGGAAGGCACACTTTGAGCATGAGATCATGCAACAAATGATAGATGAAGTAAAACACTTTTCTTCGTCTATCAAAGATGTTAATCTGCACTGGTCAGAGAAATTATCCAAAACTATCTTCAAGCACAAAGATACTTACCTAATATAAGTCCTTGAGCTTTTTTATGATAGCCTATTTGAGAATGAAACCAAAGGCAGATATGTTATAGGTAAGAGTGACTTTGACCAAAAGGCTTTGTTGGACAATTTCATGAAATTGTAAGGTGGAGGTAGCTAGATTGGGGATGGAGGTAGGCATTTCAATAAGTACTTTTATGGTTGCATTATCCCAACTAATTTAATCCAGGCTAAAATTTTAATGTCTTGTTATTTACAGGAACATTTTGGAGGTGGTTGGGCCAGTTTTATTTTGCACACTAACCCTAACAATCTCATAGTATAGTGGGTTCGTGATATTTCATTGTCACGTTGGTGGGTATGACTGTTGGTGGATACATGTTGTTATGTCGTGTAAACTTCTAGTTGGTGGGTATGACTGTATATTTTTTGATATGAAGCTCCATAGCTACGTTCTAGGTATATGATGCAACCGTATATATTTATAATGTGATGCTTATGATGGAGTGAAGCGGCTTAATTTATACCATACTGCTTTTTTGGTTAATTGCAAGTGAACATTGGATTCCATGCCATGATTTAAGTGTCTCATTCATCGCAAAACCTCACTGGTATGACAAGCTGTCACTTTTTTTTATTCCTAGAATGGTTCAATGATGAGTGCATGCAAATGATATATGCAATCATACGTAACTTAACACTGTCAAGGCGAGGCAATTTCATATTGGCATGATCATTTAACATATATTGCAGCCTTCAGTTGTTATAATTACATTGTTGTTGCATTACTGATTGTTGATGACCAACCTGAGCACTGTTTTTTGACAGTTTGTATACGCTTGCACAACCTATAGCTTTTGTTATTTAAGAATGTCTACATACCATTTGTGCAGCGATGATTGTCTTTTTCTGATATTCTCAACCAGTAATTTTACTCGCAATGTTTTGGCGAGACACTCCCACTATTTACTTATTGAGGTAAGTATATTTTCAGGTATGCAGCCAACATTGTGAAGCAATCGTTTACTGGTATAGGATATATGATGATGTGGACATATATCTGAGCATATTTTGTCTAATTTTTAAAGATCTGGCATGATGTTTATGTTAGACCCTAGAGGGGGTGATTAGAATCTTATGCTAATCTAATCCGATTTTATGCCAATTAAAACTAATTAACAAGTTATCCTAGTAAGTATAAAATACAACAAGATATGTGAGCTAGGATAAGTGATATACACAATGGTAAACAAAATAAACAAGATAGTGGATGATATAAATAATGAGCAATGGACAAAGATGATGAGAAATATAAACATAAGAGTAAGTGTGCTAAAGTAAACTCAAACACATGAAATGATCACGGAGTTCGGACCTTCTGTCCTACGTCTCCGCTCTCCACTCCTGGGGAGAAATCCACTATCACAACCGGGTTTTCTACGCTCACCCAAATAATGTTTATAATGACACACTCGGTTTTCTAGCTCATCGAAAACCTTACAACACTCATAATGTAACAACAAATTTGTTCTCTACAATAGATAAGAACTCAATGAAAGCTCACACTCAATTGTTACAACTCTCACGAACCCAAATATACTATATATATGAAAATACAATAAGCTCAAGTGGGTGTGTGTAAACAATGAGTGAAATAAAATCAACTAAACTCAAATGTAAATACTAGCTTAATAGAAATGATAATCAATAAATAATTATAAACAAAAGCTAGAGTTGAGTTTAGGAAAACTTCTCTAAATGACAAGAGAGAGAGAGATGGATTGAAGCTCAAATATCAATGAATTGATCTCCACTTCCTCTTGTGGAATTCTTCACAAACCAAACCCTTAAACAAACTTAAACCAAACTTAAACTCTTTTAAAACTTGTTTAAAATATTTCTTAGATTTATGAAGGATGAGAGCAAGGGGGTATATATAGCCACCCAAAACCTCAGCTAAAAACCCCAAGCAAAAGACCAAAAAATCCACAAAATCAAAAATATGATTCTGTACAAAATATAGTCGTTGGGCGATCGGTGGTCGACCATGAGATTTGCACGGTCGACCGTGAGATTTGTGCGGTCGATCGTGAGCACCTTAGAGGCAAATTCTAGGCTCAGGAAAACATCCGGTCGACTGTAGCGGTCGACCGCAAAACTCTCTGGACTTAATCTGGTCGACCGCCACGGTTGACCGCGAGCCATCAAAAAACATTCTGAGTCTCTGGACTCAAGACGGTCGACCGTGACGGTCGACCGCAAACTGATACATAAAAATCAGGTTTGAAAGATGTTTTTCTGACTTTGAAACCTTGTTTAAAATATCAAATAAATTCCAAAAAATATAAAACTTTAGAAAATGATTATAGACATAATAATAAACATACTACAACAACTGGTTTTTAAAAAGGACCTTCCAAAAAAAAAATATCATCATTTTGCAAAATAGTCCAAAACATGAAAATATAAACATATGAGTTTTGACATTTTAGCTTAACCATATTTTGAAACATTACAAAATAATTATATAGACTTAATGAAAGATGTATATGATTGTTATTAAGTCCATAAGCCAAGAAAGCAATATTTTCATAAAATTGCATATTTTGCAAATATTTCAAAAGAAAATATGATTTCATTGAACTAAATAAAATTGATATTGATGAAATCATATATATGCATTTAAGTATGAAACAAAAATATGTTTTCTAATTGTATTCAATTATTTCATATTAAAACTTGAAAACTATCAAACCAAAACATATATGTATATATATAATTATATATATACAAAACCAAAACGTGTATGTGTGTATATGATTGAGCTTAAAGTACTAACACACATAATATAAACCCTAAACTAATTATACCCAAGCTTGTGATCTTCAACAAAGCTCTATCTTGGTACACTTGTGGATGAAGCTTGAACTTGGATCTTCAACTTGAATTGCATGACTTCACTCCACGATTTCGCCAACCTCTATTGGATATGATCGTTGAAGCTCGATTCCATCCATCCTCCAACGCGTTGTTTGTCTACAATAAATAAGAAAACACAAATGCTAAACAAACAATATTAGTGGTAAATTGTTCGTTAAACATCATCAAAACAAAGAGGCGAACAGTTTACTGGTGTGGGATTCATGATCTGTTTACTGGTTTGATTTACAATCGTTTACTGGTTTTTGGACATGATGTTCATATTATGGGTTTTCCCTTGCATCTTAAGCCCAGATTGCATAACTTTGAGCTTCATAGTTCTGTTGTCACATGTGAGTGGTAATTGTTGTTTAACATAAACAATCGAAAGATCTGGGAATTTCGTTAATGCCTCTTAGCATCCTATTTCACTGCATATTTCATTATTGTTCCTGATTTACCAATATCTATACAATTTCTGATGCATTTTAAAGCAATACCCCACTTTTTATGATTCCTTTCACAAAATATATATATTCACATGAATATATCGATATTTTTTCCGTGCAATGATGACTATCAGCTTCATAATATATCTACCTTGTAAGGGCTAAATACGCATATTGGTATTTTAATTCAACCCCATTTGCCAACAAGGTATTTTAATTAGGAAATTCAGCGATAAGACATTTTAATTGAATAAAATTACCATTTAGGTCCTTTTTCTCGTCGGCGGCCACTTTTCCGGCGAGAACTCATCACGTGCGTTGCACGTGGGGGCTTAATCTGTGTTTAAGATGCTGATGTGGCTCTCCTTTCTCTCTCTAAACCCCCTCCCCCATTAAACCCTGACCTCCTCGGCCTCATTGTCTTCAAGTCCTCTCGTTTAGACCCAACCTCAGCTCTCTCCTCATGGACCCAAGACTCCGACGACCCCTGCAACTGGGCCCACATCAAATGCCACCCTGAGTCTCGCCGAGGCGTCGAAATCTCTCTCTCCTCCCTCGGCCTCTCCGGCAAGCTCAGTCGCAGCCTCCTCAACCTCCAATCCCTTCAAAAACTCTCCCTTTCCGACAACAACTTCACTGGATTCTTGATTCCAGACTTAACCCAGCTCCCAAATCTCACCCACATTGATCTGAGCTCCAATGGGCATGTTCAAGAGATACACACTAGGTTTTTCTCACAATGTGAGAGCTTGGTCGATGTCAATTTGGCTGGTAACAAGTTGTACGGCCAGGTACCAAGCAGCATTGGCTCTTGCTGGAATCTTGTAAGTTTCAATGTTTCGTCGAATCATCTCTCTGGGTCTCTGCCTGATGGGGTTTTGAGCTTGAGCAATCTCGAAAGTTTCGACGTTTCTGAGCTTGATGGGCTCGTCGGGGCCGGACATCTCGACCCAGCGACCCAAATGAGCGACGATCACGTTCTGCTGGACGCGGAGGTAGGTGAAGAGCGCCTTGGGCGTGAAGTTGGTTTTTAGAGGGTTAATTCCCTGCCACGTCAGAAAACAGAGCCACATCAGCATCTTAAACACAGATTAAGCCCCCACGTGCAACGCACGTGATGAGTTCTCGCCGGAAAAGTGGCCGCCGACGAGAAAAAGGACCTAAATGGTAATTTTATTCAATTAAAATGTCTTATCGCCGAATTTCCTAATTAAAATACCTTGTTGGTAAATGGGGTTGAATTAAAATACCAATATGGGTATTTAGCCACCTTGTAAGTATCCTACCAATGGACATGGTGAGGCAGACTCATTATTTATTATTGATCTGTAGCTAGCATTGTGTAGAGATTAACTGACTGGCGTAGAATGTATGTTGTTGTCCACAAATATCTGAGCACATTTGTTTTTTCATCGTTCGACAATCACTCTCACAAATGTTATAGGTTTGCTTCCATGTCTCAAGAACTGGATATTTATTGGTTTGCTTGGATGTTTGAATTCATATGAAGAGGGCTTCTAATCTTACAGTTTTCACATTTGACTTGGGTTTTTGTTAATTTGCAGTTGGGGTTATTGAAGCAATGCCCAGCTTGTTATGATTTATTCATACGAATATATATACACATATGAATACTTATATACCTGAGCACATTTCCAGCTTGTTATGATTTATTCATACGAATATATATACACATATGAATACTTATATACCTGAGCACATTTGCATCTCATCGTTTTCTCAATTTCGTCACTTGCGTAAATGATCTCAGACATGACACATAATGTCCAGTCTTCTGAAGAGATTTATGCATTATATTTTCAAAGTACAGATTACAATGTTTATGACAACAAGGAAAATACTAAATATCCCTAAGACAACAAGACATTTTTCTTCAAGTAATCGATTTGTCGATTTGCGAACTTCAATTCTCTTCGCAAATACTTTGTTTGCATATCTTTTATTTCTAAAACTACTTGAAGAGAAGCTTCATCTTTTTTTGATTGACCGTTTTTGATATCATGCTCATCTTCGGCCCACCTAAAAAATTTGTATTGCCTATTTGGGTATTTGGCGCAGCCCCAAAAATATTTGCCCTTGTTCAATCCATTTTTGCACAACTTCAATGGTGTCGGTATTTTACAATAACAAGTTACCTCGGTTGCTTGATTCCGAGACACTTGGTGTGCAGCCATGGCTAAGCTCTGCTTGAGAAGAAGCCCCTTTGGTTATTGTTATGCTCAGGCTTTTGCAATTTGAAGAGAATGTAAGTTGAGTGGGAATTGAGTTGCAAATGCTAAATCGTCATATCACAAATATATATGTGCAGGCATGGATACTGTCACGGAGGCCTAGGGTTAGGTTACTATGACGAATGACATTTTCTGTCCGTTGCTCAAATATTACCGTCGACACCTTTTTAATGATTTTGTGGGCAGTACGGTCACCGTGGTGATATTACATAGGGTTTCTCATTTTCTCTCAAGTGCATGCCAAACGTTGGAAGTTGAAGAAATGTAAAAAAGTTATTTGGTTTCTTGATTTCATGGTGTTCAAACAAACCCAATAAAAGGGAAACTATGTTTTCAAGCCATTAATTTCAATGTGAAACAAACAAAATAATTCAAATCTGGGAAACCCTCTGAAATGTCAAGAAATGGTTTTCATCATAGATTTATGTTTTCTTTTTTTCCGGAAATGTACCAAACAGACCCTATGGGGCTGTTTTGGTTGGTTTCCTAAAATCAAAGAAAATGAAATAGGACCCGGAAATCATTAAAAATTGATTTCTATCCATTTCAATTCTTAAAAATCACTCATATCATCCAATAATATGATGAGAACTCATTTCATCTTATTTCCTTTCTTACTTTTAAGAATGAACCAAATGCAAGAAATGAGTCCCATCATCCATCTCATCTCATCTTTAAAAATGAGTCACTTCATTTAATAATATGATGACAACTAATCTCATTTTATTAAAAATTGATTTCCATCCATTTTCTCAAAAAAATCATGAAATAAGTTTCCTAAAGACGAGTCACATCATCCAATAATATAATGACAATTTATCTCATTTCATTCTTTTCTTAGCTTTGAGAATGAACCAAACACACCTATTATAGAAAATATATTTCTTATAATTGATTTCCTTTTTGGGCCGGTTTGGCTATTTCCAAAAAAAAAATCGGAAATGGAAATGTAGCTCTTGAAATGAATTCAAGACAATTCAAGACATTTCCTAGTTTTCATTTTTTTTGTTTGTTTCGCAAAGAAAATGTTCATTTTCACTGCCAAGTCACACAAACAGACAAAAAAAAGCCTCCATAGTAACAGTGCTTTGATTTCTATTTCTTGTGTTTGTTTGAGAACAAGAAAAAGGAAATGAGAAATGTGGCATTTAAATATTTCGTTTTATTCTTCTGAACTATTCAAACAGTGCTTTTACTAATTAATAATTTTCAGATGGGACATTTTCAAGTGTGAAAACACATTTGGTGTGAAAACACATTTCTTAAAAAATTAAGGTGGCAACACATGTGACACTTCATTTTCTTGAAAATTAAAGACGAAACAAACACTTGAAATAGAAACCTCTTGGAAACAAAAACCTACGTGAAACATGAGGGGCAACACATTTCTATATTTTTTTTAGCAAACAAACAGAACCTCTTTTAACTTCCTCAAAATCCAAACTTTAGCCAATTTTCAGTCGTAATTCATAATTTCATTTCCGCCGTTACTCATCAGAGGCTTGGAGCGAAAACCAAACCCTTCAACCGAGCCCTAACCGTAATGGCGGAACTCCCGATTCTCGAGTTCGAGGACAAGATTCTGGAGACAGTGGAGGCGAATCGGCGAGACTGGCTCGGCCAAGGAGCACCCAGCTCTTCAGATTATTGCACCGGCTACAAAGTCTGGAATCATCGCCATCACTCAGCCTCGTCGAGTCGCCGCCGTCTCTGTTGCCAGGTTTAAAGCAAAACTTTTTTTTTTGGTTCCATTGAAATGCTGAAGCTGGAGAACTTTTAGATTTTGGGAATAATTTTTCGAAGTTGACAAAGATAGCATTGGATTTGGGGGATAATCAAGCAGTTTTACAATAAATTTGATTAGGAAGTGCAATGAAAAAAAAAAAGGACATTCACTAGTTTGTTATTTACTACTACTCGGTGAAAGGAAGGAGTCTATAAAAAACTATTCAGCATACTATGCAAGGAATTGCTGGATGATCACTGTATATGTATCTCAAGAAAAATAAGAACAGGAGCTAATGAGATTAAAATAACAAATCATGAGTCAAAGTTCAGATATTTCTTCTTAGAACACATTGACTTGACCCAATAAGCAGGATGTCCACCCAATAGCATATCGCCACCATAAATGGTACCTCTTATTTCTTCCAGAGGTTTCCATAACTGTTCAGGAGTGACTTAAAAAAAGATTCTTTAATAAAAAAGAATCCAGAAGTTTTTGCAACTCAACCATGAATGATGGAAAGAACTAAAGTTTTCGGTTGGTCCTTTTCTAGCTCTCTCTGTAACTCACTAGAGGCTCAGGAAGCAAAGTAAAGATGGGTACAATATATTAAATACTCGAATTAGCTTCATGAGCAAGTTGGGATCTTTGTGATGATGAAAATGACTGTAAAATACAGTTCAGCAATCATGAGGTTATACCATTATAGTAGTGTTGTTTTTTTCCTTGGTGGATATTGGATAATTTGGTCAACAAATAGTTCATTAGAAGCTGAGTCAGGTAAACTATGAATTCTCACGATTGCTTGGCGCATAAAGAATTATTTGGAGAACAATTCAACTGATGAAGAATAAGGTAAAGAATCCAGTATTTTTCCACAATTTCTGATAATGCTTTAGTTTGCAAGTACGATTAATAGCAGATCTTGTTAATGTTGGGACCATTTCTAAACTGACCTAATGTTTCGTGAAAATCCGTCTGAGATATACCATCCTTTCTCAGTTGTCTGATTATTTTCCCTAGAGATGTTATTAAGAGTCTATTAGATAGTTAGGCATAAACTTAGATAGTTAGGTCCTTAGGTTTACTGAAAGATTTGTCATTAGACATATTACATAACTAGGATGGTTAGCAATTGGAGGGGCGATGACCCTTATTTTCAGCATTTCCTTGGATATATACTCTTTGCATTAGTTAGATAAATGTTCAGAAAGAAGTCTGGTTATTGTATTTGTTAGTATCAAATTACTTAATGGAGAGAAGTAGAACTTGTGGAACTCATTTAATATGGCAACAAATATAGAATGCAACATCTCAAATTTGGAAGAGATGAGCGGAATTTAAACTGCTAGCTAAGTAATACATAGAATTATCTCATTTTAAGATCTATCAATCATTGTGATGCAGTTTTGGTGATGTTGTCATAGGGTTTAAGCAGGTTGGTTTAAGTAGAGTACTGTCAGAGTAATATGATCTCTTTAACACCTGTAAAATTCATTGGAAAAACTTTGTGATGTCTCTATTTGATGAACTATTCCTTTTTGCATCAATATATTTGGCAACATGAACACACCCAAAATATTGTAAGGTGTAAATGTGAAATTAGGTGAGTGGGAATATGGTGAGAAGTTTGAGTTACCTTCTATTCTGTTAAGGATAAGATAGGTGAAGATAGATTGAGATTGTTTCTAGACCTAGGTGATAAAAGACAAGAAACCTATAAGTCCACTCTCAAGAACATTAAGAATGTAAATGAAGAAGCGCTTAGGGCTCTGAGTACCCCTAAATGAGCATGAACTTAGGTTGGTAGTTACTTTAGGTTCTTATATATTAGAGAACATGTTGAAATGTTGACTAACATAACTGAATATCAGAAAAGGATTATGAAGTTGGCAACACAAAGTTTGGATCAATACTGTCCCATTGTTTTTATTCTGGCAACATCACCATGGTTTTCAATGACAATGTAATATTTTAAAACCGATATGGGAATCCACCTACTCTGTCAAAAGTCAGCAGTATCATGTTGTCATTGAGATGATCCTTCTCTTTTCATATCAACTCTTCATTGAGAGGTCACAATATCTTACCTAGTATTTTGTAAAATGAAGGGTTTTAGAAAGTAAACCACCACTTGCTTTGGATTTGGTTGTGCTGAATTTTTTTTTAAGTTAAAATCCATAAATGCTTAAATGAGAGTCCAGCTATTCTGTTGAAAGTTGCTACTATCATGTTGTCATTGAGATGAGGAAATTCCTTCTCTTTCAATATCAACACTTCACTGAGAGATCACTAAATTTATATAATATTAAATAATTATAAATGAAGGGTTTCAGAAAGTAAACCCCCAGTTGACTCACATTTGGTTGTACTGAAAGTTTCTATAAACTGTATGTTCTTTTGGAAATCATATCTTATTTTAGATTTCTGCTTCTTTTTTATCATCTTTAATCATTCTTTGATCGATGATATGAGTTTGATGGTAACAAACTTCTAGTTATTTTTTACCTTAGTGCGCGCGCATGTGTATTTTGTTGAGCATCATACTTTTGACAGGAGGGTTGCATTTGAACTTGGCGTTCAGCTTGGTGAAGAAGTGGGTTACGCTATTCGGTTTGAAGATCGAACTTCAGATAGAACATGTATCAAGTAAGAATTCTACTACATCAATCAGATGAATAGTCCAAAGTCTGTTTAAATATAGTTTCTATGTACAGATTATATTTTGAATTAATTTTGTTCGATGGAATGCTCAGGTATCTTACCGATGGTTGTCTCCTTCGTGAAAGCCTGTCAAATCCAGAGTTGAGCCAATATTCGGTTATAATCTTGGACGAGGCTCATGAGAGGAGTTTGAATACGTAATATTTCCTTTAGTGTTAGCTTTTTTAACATATTTAAATATCTTTTTGTTTGTAACTTTGTGTGATGTCTTGAATAAGTTCTAGTTTGGCTATAGTTTGAAACGGAATGTTATATGTCACGCCCCATGCCCAGCTTGTCAGCGTGATGTAAACCCTGGGAGTAGAGGTGCATAACCATATCCGTATTTGCGAATATATCCGTAATCGTATCTGTTACAAAACATATATGATTACTGAAATTTGTAACTGATAGGACATGGTTACAGATATGGTTATGTAGTGAAATATCCGGATCAATATCCAAAATATCCGAATAAATGTTGATCATACATCTACAATTGTTTCAATACTTAGATTAATGAATTTGAGACTAAGTTTGATGATCAAGAGATCTAATCTTACCTTTTTAGATATAACAAACATATTAATGAAGTCTCTTGTATCCTATGAACTATATTTTTTCTCAATAATATTTGGTTTTCTCATATTCATTTTGTATCTGCATGTATCATTATCCTTATCTGATTCTAGCGGATGTGGATATAAGTTTTTCATACCAAGGCATATTCATATCTGTGAATGGCAAGCGGATACAAATATAGTAAGTATCATATTTGAGTCGTATCTGAACCGTTCGCACCCCTACTGGGGACCCACTTAGTGCAACACGTTGTTTAGCTCAATTCACGTCAGTAAATGGTTAACCCTTGTTACACTTGGGTCTCTAGTCTTACCATTTATAGTATTTTGAACCCATCAGTATGTCCTCACACAATCGATGTGAGACTATTATTAGGGCATCACGCTATCTCCTTGAACATCTAGTAGTAGTAGTAAAGGTACAATATCCTTTGTATACCTTCTAATGTTTAGTATTTTCAGCCTAGGTTTATTTACAAGGCGAAGTCATGATGTTCATTTGCTTTTTCAATTAAATATTTTATTCCTAAAAGCTCCTCAATTATTTTTTCATTACCTCAAGATTTAATTTAAACTCGAAAGTTCCTTATTCTCGCTATGGGGATGGAGGGGGTTTTGTACTCTAGTGGCAATAGAAAAATGACTAATTTTCATTACCCGTATAATGTAAATCTTGTCCAGAGTGTTATTTTGGCATATTCAAGGGAAGAAGTTCATGGGTTATAACATAAAAAGAAAAACATTTAGGTATTTAATCTTTGAAATAACTCAAGGACATTTACATCTAGAGTGGATGAAGCTTTATGATATTATTTTATAAGTGATCCATGGAGTGCTGCCTCCAATAAACTCCCAAGTTAATTGCGCTTTAAGGTTTTAATCATCACACGCTTTTTCTTGGGCTAGCATTGAAGATCAATTTCTGATTGATAACCAGATGGAAAAACTTGGTTTATTGTTTTTATTGAGCCTAGTTGACTCTTAGTCTGCTTCATAGACAAGCACGTTTTGATTTGAAAAAAAAACTTTTTGATTATTTGTCCATGGTGTTAGATCAGTATAATTTGAGAAGTCAGAGCTCTTTGTTTCCGTTTTGTTATATTTTTGTCTGCTTCCTATTTTCTCCTCAAAATAGTGACATTTATCTGGTTCAAGGCTTGTGAAGGATCTAATAAGGATGCAATACTCTATTGATTTGTGCCAAATTTTTGGTTGAGAATGTTTTGGACATGTGACTTGCCATACTTGTTGAAAGTACATTTAGTATCCTCCAAATTCTTCTAGAGATGGAGAAGTAGCACAAAGAAAGCAAAGATCTAATAGAATACATTACTTCTATTATTGATAAATTTTTTGTTTAAGTTACGTTAGAGAAGTTACAAGCCTTCACTTCATTTTGCGGTTATAAAAAACAATGAAGCCTAATAGGTTTACTGAATTTGGGTATTGGAGCAGCCCAAAAGTTTCTTATTAGAAAGCCTTGCTGAAACAGAAGATATGACTATAATGGTCTTAGGATACAAACAGTAATAGCTAGTAGCCTAAAGCCTTGTTGCTATTTCACATTTGGCTGGCATAAGGCTACTCTCAGCCTTATCCCCATTCTTATTCAATTTCCTGAATTCTCCCTCCCTCCCTCCCCCCCTCTCTCTCTCTCTCTCTCTCTCTCTCTCTCTCTCTCTCTCTCTCTCTCAGTACAAACCATAATAACTAATAGCTTGAAACCTTGTTGCTCACTCTTAGCTAATAGCCTGAAACCTTGTTGCTATTTCACATTTGGTGGCTCCCTCTCTCTCCTGGTACGAAATGTAATAGCTAATCGCCTGAAACCTTGTTGCTATCTCGTAGCTAATAGCCTGAAAGGCTGAAACCTTGTTGCTATTTCACATTTGGTGGCATAAGGCTACTCTCAGCCTTATCCCCATTCTTATTCAATTTCCTGAATGCAAAAACTCCCTCCCTCCCTCTCTTTCTCCCTCCCTCGCCCTTTCTCTACACATACACACATAGATTTGAACTTTGAACTAATTATTCTTTTAGAACTAAATGGAAATACATTAATTACTGCAGATTGTGCCCTTTTTCTGTAGATACATAGTGGTTTTGTCTGTTATTTATGTTGGAAGATAATAAATTTATATGTCAGAAGTTGGATTTTTTAAGTTGCATATTTTTATTTGATCAAAGAATTAGTTTCTAAGCATTTCATTTTTTCTGATTGGTAGTGACATATTGCTAGGGTTGATGAAACGCTTAATCAAGGAACGCTCGTCAAATCTAAAGGTTCTCATCACTTCAGCAACTTTGGATGGTGTCAAAGTATCAAACTTTTTCTCAGGTTGCCCTGTGTTAAACATACCTGGCACATTATTTCCTGTGGGGAAGCTGTATAGCACAGAGCGTCCTACGAGTTATCTTGAATCTTCTCTGAAAACTGCTTTGGGTATGGATAAGTTGTTGATCTTTAGTCATCATTTTCTTTGATGTTCTGCTTTCTAGTGTGGTGGTTATACAGATACAACTTATTTGTGTGCTAGAAAATAGATTTCATTTGCTTAACCAACATTTCAAATCCTGTATCACATCCAACTTGACTTCCTGTATCACATCCAACTATTAGTCAAGCAGTTTGGAACCAGACTTTGATTAAATACTATGATAGCATAACTTCTTTTTCTTATTTTATTCCTTTTGATATCTATGATCCCATTGCTTCTATAATTTTGTCTTTCTGCACCAGAACAACTGTTTTTGGACCAAACAAAATGTGTGTTTGCTTAACCTTGTTTCACATAAGCTTTGTATAAGGTCAAGCTGAAACATGGCATAGTTAACAATAGGCGGTACGTACTACGTAGCAGGTCACAGTATGAATTCAGGTTTGCAATTTCCCACTTAGAAAATTTGGATTCGTTAGGGGTAGCTTGCTTCGGTACGCAAATTTGGTTAGTGGTACATTGTAAAAATTCTGGGTGCGCGTAAAGTTTTCTAAAGTATACATTAGAAAACTAGAAAGCTAATTATGAATTTTAATATTTTTTATATAAAATACTTAAATACTTCTTTTTGATGGAGTTTGTTTCTTTGTTCTGTTTTTTTTTTCACAGAGCTCGTTTTAGGATCATTGTTTCGTTTTACATTTAATTAACATAAGTGTTTAGCTACAGTAAAGCCATCGGCTCATACACTATTGTGTGTCTCCCTTCACTTAATTTCACACATTGCATTGCGTCTTGTGCACGTGCACTTATAGAGACTTTGCATTTAGCATACTTGTAAGTGGTACGCCAGTTTTGGGGAACCTGTTCGTGTATTGGAGGGAATCAGTTCGTAAATGTACTGGAAATCGGTTTGTATGAACTGTACGATGGTTCTACTCAGAGGAATCGGGCAACGATGAAACGTACTTTTATTTCTAAGAACATAGTTTCACTATGATTAAATCATACTTTAACTATCTGTATGAATAGGTTTCAAGTACATTCATAAGCTAAATTATGATGGAATTGTTCATCAAAGTTAACTTCTTCCAGAGTCGCATTTCGTCATCATCTAGCCTTCTTCATCAAACTGGAGTTGTATGGAGTAGAATGGTCCATAGAGAAGATGGACAAAATTTTGCACTGGTAGTCAATGCAGATGTCGGCCTTCTCTTTTAGTGTTAGTTTCCTTGGCAAGAGATCTAGGAGGAAGGGTGTTGTCTCCGGTCCAGAAGGTGCTGTTGGTACAAAAACCTAGGATATAGATCATGCAGATTA